TTACATGGTCCACACACAAAATTTCATTTGTAGCCACTTATCCTGGGCTCAGACAGAAGGACAGAGTAGACTAGAGATGCTTGAGGAGAGTCTAGGGCCAGTGGCTCTGGGGAGAAAACTGAAGGAACACCTACCAGGATCCCTGTGCTGCATCATTCTCCATACTGCAGGAGCCATCTTCTCAAGCAGAGCACTCCTCTCTAAGTGGCATCTGCTTGAGGGAAGACAATAGCCCAGCCCACAGGAAATACTCTGCCCCACCCTGTGGTGCTTAAGCCAGACTGATGACTACAGCTTGATTAGATTTAATGGCTAATTAGTTTAATGTCCAAGATGGTAAATACAAAGAAGCAGCCAAAATGGGAAGACAAAGAAACAGACCCCAAATGAAAGAACAAGAGAACTCTTCAGAAGAATTAGATGAAATGGAGGCAAGCAATTTCTCAGGTAGACAGTTTAGAGTAATAATTATAAGGATACTCAACAGCACGAAAAAAGACATAGAAACCATATAAAAAGACCAGTTAGAAATAAAGAATGTAATATCTGAAATAAATAATACACTGGAAGGAATAAATAGTAGGTTAGATAAAGGAGATAATAGAATCAGTGTTTTGAAAGACAATGTAGAAAAAAACACCCAGGCAGAGAAGCAAAAGGAAATAAGAATTTTTAAAAATGAGAAGAGTTTAAGAAACATTTTGGAAAATATGAAGCATAACAACATCCACATCATGGGAATTCCAGAAGGAGAAGAGAGTAAGTAAGGGATGGAGAACATATTTGAAAAAATAATGACCAATAACTTCCTTAATCTGGTGAAGGAAAAAGTCGCCCAAGTCCAGGAAGCTCAGATAATCCCAAACAAATTGGACCCAAAGAGGCCTACACCAAGACACATCATAATTAAAATGATATGGTTTAAAGACGAGAGAATCCTAAAAACTGAAAGAGAAAAGTGGGGAGTTACATACAAGGGAGCACAAATTAGACTGGCTTCTGATTACTCAACAGAAACATTTCAGGCCAGAAGGGAGTGGCATGAAATATTCAAGGTGATGAAAAGCAAGGACATATAACCAAGGCTACTTTACCCAGCACAGTTATCATTTAAAATCAGAGAAGAAATAAGGAGCTTCCTGACAGGAAAAAGCTAAAGGAGTTTGTTAGCACCAAACCAGTACTGCAGCAAATATTAAAGGGGGGAGAGGAGGAGGAGGAGGGAGAGAAGAAGATGAAGAAGAGGAGGAAGAAGAGAGAAGAAAAAGAGAAAGAGAAAAAGGAGGAAAACAGTTTAACAATAAAATGGCACTACATACGTATCTCTCAATAATCATCTTAGATTTAAATGGCTTAAATGCTCCAACCAAAAGACACATGGTAGTTGAATAGATAAGGAAACAAGACTTCAAGAGACCCATCCCAGATCAAAAGATATACACATACTAAAAGGAAAGGGATGGAAAAAGATATTTCATACAAACGGAAAAGAAAAAAAAAGCTGAGATAGCTGTACTTATATCTAACAAAATAGACTTTAAAACCAAGGCTTCAGTAAGAGACAAAGAAAGACACTACATAATGATAAAACAATCCAACAGGAGTATATAACCCTAGTGAACACTTATGCACCCAACATAGGAGCACTAAATATGTGAAGCAAATCCTGACATAAATATAGTCATAGTTGGGGATTTTAACACACCATTGACTTCAATGGATAGATCTTTCAGGCAGAAAAATCAACAAGGAGACAGTGGCCTTATAAAACACACTAGATCAAATGGATTTAAATTTGGTATCTTCAGAGAATTTCACCCCAAAGCAGCAGAGTATACATGCTTTTCAAGTGCACATGGAATGTTTTCTAGCATAGACCACATGTTAGGACACAAAACAAGTCTCAATAAATTTAAGAAGTCATATCTCTAGCATCTTCTCTGACCACAATGCTATGAAACTAGAATGCAATCACAAGAAGAATGCTGAAAAACATTCAACGACATGGAAGCTAAATGACACGTTGTTAAACAATGAATGGGTCAACATTGAGATGAAGGAAGAAATCAAAAGACACCTTGAAACAAATGCAAATGAGGACACAACAGTCCAAAATCTGTGGGACACTGGGAAAGCAATCCTAAGAGGGAAATTCATATCATTACAGGCCTCTCAAAAAACAAGAAAAAGCTCAAATAAACAATCTAACTTCACACTTAAAAGAACTTGAAAGAGAAAAACAAAGCTGAAAGTAAGTAGAAGGAAGGAAATAATAAAGACCAGGTCAGAAATAAATGAAATAGAATCTAAAAAAAAAAACCAAACAAACCATATAAAAGATTAATGAATCCAAGAGATGCTTCTTTGAAAACATACACAAGATTGACAAACCTTTAACCAGACTCATAAAGATAAAAAGACACAGGACCCAAATAAGTAAAATCAGAAATGAAAGAGGAGAAATAACAACTAACATCAAAGAAATAAAAATAAAGAAAGTATTATGAATAATTATATGCCAACGAACTGGACAACCTGGAAAAATGGATAAATTCCTAGAAACATAAAGTCTTCCAAAAATAAATTAGGAAGAATCAGAGAATCTGAATAAACAGATTACAACTAGTGAAATTGAAGCAGTAATCAAAAAATTCCCAATAAAGAAAAGCCCTGGACCATTTGGCTTCACAGGTGAAGTTTACCAAACATCCTGAGAAGAACGCCTCTGTTTCTCAAACTATTTCTTAAAGTTCAAGAGAAGGCAAGGTTCCCAAACTCATTTTACGAGGCCAGCATTATCCTAATTCCAAAACCAGACAAAGAGAACAAAGGAAGAAAACTACTGGCCAATATCCCTGATGAACACAGACACTAAAATCCTCAACAAAATATTAGCAAAACGAATACAGCAATGCATCAAAAAGATTATACACCATGATCAAGTAGGGTTTATTCCGTGAATGCAAGGTTGGTACAACATTTGCAAATCAATAAATGTGATCCACCACATAAACAAAATGAAGGATAAAAACCACATGATCATATTCATGGATGCAGAAAAAGCTTTTGATAAAATCCAGCACTGATTATGATTAAAACTCTCAGCAAAGCGGGAATACACAGAACGTACCTAAACATAATAAAGGTCATATATGACAAAACCACTGCCAGCATCATACTCAATGGGCAAAAAATACAAATGTTCCCCTTAAGATCGGGAATAAGATAGGGATGTCCGCTTTCATCTCTCTTATTCAATATGGTACTAGAAGTCCTAGCCACAGCAATCAGACAAGAAGAAGAAATAAAAGGTATCCAAATTGGAAAGGAAGAAGTAAAACTGTCTTTGTTTGCAGATGACATCATCCTGTACACAAAGAACCCCAAAAATTCCACTAAGAAACTACCAGAACTGATGATAAATGAATTCAGCAAAGTAGCAGACTACAAAATAAATATCCAGAAATCAGTTACATTTGTATATGCCACTAATGAACTAAGAGAAAGGAAAATTAAGAATCCCAGTCACAATTGCTTCAAAAAGAATAAAATACCTAAGAATAAACCTAATCAAGGATGTAAAAGACCTGTACACAGAAAATTACAAGACACCGAAGAATGAAATTGAAAAAAGAAACTGAAGAAGATACACGTAAGTGGTAGCACATACCGTATTCATGGATAGGAAGAATTAACATCATTAAAATACCCAGCCTTGGCTGGTGTGGGTGAGTGGACTGAGTGCCAGCCTGCGAACCAAAGGGTCGCCAGTTCAATTTCTGGTCAGGGCACATGCCTGAGTTGGCCGAATCCCCAGTCTAGGGTGCGTAAGAGGCAACCATATATTGATGTTTCTCTCCCTCTCTTTCTCTCTCTAAAAATAAATGAATAAAATCTTAAAAAAAAAAAGTTCATACTATCCGAAGCAGTCCATAGAATCAATTTAATTCCTATCAAGATTCCAATGACATGTTTCACAGAACTAGAACAAATATTTCACAAATTTATATGGAACCACAAAAGACCCTGCACAGCAACAGTGATCCTGAGAAAGAAGAACGAATTGGAGGAATCATGCTACCTAATATCAAACTAATATCAAACACCTTTTTAAGAAACCAAAGTTCTTAAATATGATCAGTGTTGCACTCAATCAACAAACACACATGGATGCCTTGTATGTGCCAGGCACCAACAGAAGAGTAAAACTAACATGGTCTCTGCCTTCATATATGTTATTGCAATTAGGATATCTGATAACAAGGCTAAATTATACAATGAAAAAATTACAATGTGGTAACATCAATAAATGACACACTTCAAACACAGAACAGTGGACATATTAAACCATGTCTGAATGACTCAAGAAAATCTCTATGGAGGCCCACTGTATAGTTCTGCACCCTTTTAATATTTTGCTCCCCACCCAGATGCCAGGTTGTTGGATATTGTAAGGTCTGCTTTTATCAGCTAACCTCTTATTTCTCTGCTCACTCTCTCCCATCGGCCCATTTCTACTTTGGAGCTTTTAATATTCCGTGGGATAGAAAAATCAGGTAACTATTATAGCTAAAAAATATACACTAAATAATAAAGATGGCTGCAAGTAAGAACTGAAGATCTAACTTTAATGTGGGCTTTCTGATTTACTTTTGATTCTGAGAGATATTTTTCTGACATAATTCTGTTATAAGGCACTAAAGTAAAACATTATTCTATATAAACTAGGTGTTACAGAATAATTTTACTACTTTGGTATAAAATTGCCTGGCAAACACTTGTTTTCTTTTAAAGGGAAGAAAACAGTTATGGAAGGAAGAAATACTGTAAAGAGTTATGAAGGGGAGAAATCTGTCCAAAATGGGAATTACATATTTTATTGCCCAGTGTGACACACATTTTTATTATCTAATTGTTAATCATATCAGCACATAACAGGAAGTGTTACAACAGGAAGACACAGCCAAAGTTTTTTGCAGTACTTTATAAATACCACCTACCTCTTATGCATATCCAACAATCATCTTTTTTGTTGTGTTTTTTAAGTTCTTCTTCAGTTACCTCAATTAACCTGCCTTTTAATCCTGTTAGGTCCTTTCCACTTTTGGTCAGTCGAATCCAATCCATAAGACTTCTGCCCTGTTTTAGAGGTACCTAAAAAAGGAAAAGGGAAAAATTAAATGTGACTTCTTCAGGTTAGCTGCTTTTCCTTTCCCTGCTGCTGTTTGTCTTCAGGCTACTTCATTACAAGTTTTTTTTTGTTTGTTTGTTTTTAAAGATTTTATTTATTTATTTTTGAAGAAGGAAGAAAGGGAGAAAATAATCATTACGTGAGAGAAACATCTATCAGTTGGCTCTCGCACGTGCCCCAGCTGTGGACAGGCCAGCAACCTAGGCATGTGCCTTAAATGGGAACAGAACCAGTGACCTTTTGCTTTGCAGGATGATACTCAACCAACTGAGCCACACCAGGCAGGGCTACTTCATTACTTATTCCCATTCAAAAGAATTTTTAAAAATGCAAATCTAACAATTTTACAAATATTCTTTTCAGCTTTAGGAGTTTGTCAAAATAATTTTTTACAACTAGAATTATAAACAGAACATTATATAAAATACCTGGGCTATGAGGTAAGGCTTAGAAAAGTTCACCGTAATGGTAACAAGAATAGTATTAAACTTGGAATCAGAAAACAATTTTTGGTCCAGGCTCTGTCACTAAAATGTGATAATCACTTACCAATTTGGGCCAACATTTCTTTGCCTTAAACATCAAGAGAGATTTGACAGAAGAAATTATAAACAACTGGCTACAGTTGATTTTCTGGATTGTCGATATACACAGAACATTGGAAATCATGAGGCAGCAATTAATTTTCTAAGAATCCACTGAGAAAAAAAGGTTATCAAATAAAAGAAAATAATAAAACTGTAACACTCTAGGGAAGCGGTTGGCAAATTGGCCCGTGCCTGTTTCTTTACAGCCCTTCAGCTAAGAACGGTTTCCGCGCGTAGGAGCGGTGGCAGTGGTGAAAAGGCTGAGGCCGTGTGTGACCCTCAAGGTCTAACGTATTTATTATCTGGCTCTTTGCAGAGAAGTTTGCCAATGCTTGTCTACAGGATTTAATAACAAAATGTTTGTTTTTTTTGCGGGGGTTTTTCCCCCACAAAATACCTTTTCAAGACTTTTAAGTGAGAGGTGTTTATTAATGTTTTAATCAGTTAAAACAATCTAGTAGAAATTTTCAAGCCATCCCTATGGGATAGGACTACTATCTAAACTTGGATAACTAGTTTGTAACACAGGACCAGAGGACTGTTTTGTGTAAAAGCAGGCACATTTAAGGATGTTTATTGCTACAGACTGAATGTTTGCGTCCCCTCAAAATCCATATATTGAAATCCTAAACCCCAATGTGACATTAATTAGGACATGGTGCCTTTGGTAGATGATTCGGTCATAAGGGCAAAGTTTCCATGAATGGTTTCAGTATCTTGGTAAAAGTGGCCTGAGAGATCCCTCACCCAATACTGCCCTGTGAGGACCCGGAAAAAGTCACACAGGAATCAGGCCTTTACAGGACACAGAACTGGTCATTGGCTAATACACTAACCTTGAACTTCCAGTCTGCAGAATTGTGAGAAATAATTTCTGTTGTTTATCAGCCATCTGGCCTATGGTATTCTGTTATAGCAGCCTGAACCAACTAAAACCTTTATATCCCTAACTTTTCTGAATCATACCCATTTTAGGCATTTATTTACCACCCCCCACCCCCAACCACCACCAAATAACCAAGTGAACAGGTCTATGGTGCCTTTCCTATTTTACATTCCTTCCTATCAATCATCTCATTCTTTCCATCACTAAAACTTTCTAGATCTCTTGGTCCTAATAAAGTTCCAATAAACTAAGTGTAAGAATATGATCTTTCCCATCCCAAACCAAAATCACTTGTCTCTCTTGTCTATGTGGAGTTCATACTCTACACAGTAGTTAAAAGTAAGCTTTTGAAAATGCAGTTCTCATCATGGGCCCTCCCTCCTTTCGTGGCCCTTCACACAACCTTATGTCTCTAAATTCCCTAGAGCGGTTTGCCAGGCCCGTCAGAATCTGGTCACAGTTTACCTCACCATCTCCATGTTTTAACTTGCTTCTTCCCATTTACATGCCTTAGCTAAGTGAGAACAGATTCCTGACTGCTATGAAACACTTGCTCCATCCTGGATCTAGCCCACTCCCTCACCCTAGCCCCCCAGACATCATTTCCTCCAGAAACCTTCTCTGACCCCAACTCCTTCATGGGTATAACACACAATTACAGTATTTACGGCATTTATAGCTGCCTGTTTACTAGTCCGAGCAGCCTATTAGACTAAACTCCACATCTCTAGAATAAGGAAGGTTCTCAATACATCTTTATTTAGTAATGCTAGTAGAAATAATAACGGCTATCGTATATTGAGTGCATACTTTAGCCAGGCACTGTGCCATGGGTTTTATACAACAAACCATGATATTTACATAAGAGATAAGAGGTATTTGGTTACATTTAGCGAGTGCTTCTCATATACAAAGACTATGCTAAGAGAAACATTACCTCATATAATCCTATAAACAACCCTATAAAATGGGTACTGTTATTCCCATTTACATCTGAGGAAAGAGTCAAAAAGGTTGAGTGACAGAGTTGGGAAAGGAATCTGGGTCTTTCTCGTTCAAAAGTCTGTGCTTTTTAACAATGGTGACATACAACCTCCCCAAATAGGTACTATTTCTCGATCCACCCATTTCATACAATCCTGACTCAGCTTCTAACATGATCAAGACAAGCTTGTTTCACAAAAAGGGGAAAAAACAGTCTTAGCTTTCCTTTGGATTGCACAATAATTTTATTTTGTTCTCTTTTTGGACCCAAAGACTCACCTTTGCCATCACCACCTGAACCTTTTGTCTTTGCCTTGAAATTTTTTTCTTTAAATGGATGCCGAGAACATGATTGGTAGTTTTAATGGAGAAGGGTAGAAACATATTTTAATTCATAGCTTCTTTCTCTGGAAGGCAATACTACTCAGGCAAACACTTAGCTTAAGGAAAGAAACAGGTTAAATATCAAGGAGGAGGGAACAAATGATCAAATGGCTGGATGATATATAGGGCAATAAATAAAATGTCACAGCCAGAGTTACATCACATCAAGCCTATAAGATCTAGGGCAATATTCCTTACCAATTTCCTTTTCTGTGAAATGGAGGTAACAAATGCACCCACTTCATAGGATTATTTTAAAGATTAAATGAGTTAATACATGCAAAGCAATTAAAACACTCTTAGAACATACACAGTGAGAACATTCAGTAAGTACTGAATAAATCTCAGCTGTATTATTGTTACAGGTGAGGTAAAGACTTTCAAAAAGCTAATGAAAGCTACAGATCTCTGAACCCATAATTACGATCTAGAGTCAAAATCCATGTCTAAATGGAGAAAAACAAAAAAGAAAGTCAGTGAAGGTCCCAAGTAATGATGAGACCTAAGAGTCCAAAAATGAAAAAAAGCGGTGGACAAACATGATGTGGTTATAGAATGAGGAACCAACAAATACAGGAGCAAGCAATTCATGCTGCGATGAACAAAGGAGACAATTTTACTCAATTTTTCAACTGTAAAATAAATTTGTATTCCACCTGTTGCTAACTATAACTATGTTCAACAAAAAATTTAAAAAGTACCTTAACTTCGAAGTCATCAAGTGGTACCAGTTGAAAAGGCAGTGATAAAACACTTAATTACCAGTGGACAAAATGCAGTAGGACTTGGAGGAGTCTCTGTAAACCTAATGGGAGGTTGCAGACATTTGTTCTCCCTTCTTCAATCTGCCCTAGCTCGGGGAGTCCCCACCCTTGGAAGGATGGTAACTGGTCACTATTGCTACCGCCCAACCCTTTCCTTTCTGCTAGGAAATCCACATTACTCAGAACCCCTTCGGAAATTTAGGCACAAAGCACCGGAGAAAAGAGTTTGAGGGAAGGAAGCTAATACTCTGTACCTATAATCCAGCGAGCACAGTGCCTGGCCGTACCATTTACGTCTGATTTTAGTTCGCGGGGAAAGACTTGGAGGAAGGGAACTGACAGAAAGAGATAAAGGGCTAGGTCAGAAAAGCTACTAGTAGGTGTGAGGGAGGTTAGGAGAGTTCGAGGACTGGAGACGGCATGGGATCCGAAAGAGGTCGCCAGCTAGGGCAAGAGACATCGAAGGTTAGAGGGGAACTGGAGGTGGAAGAGAATGTGCGGGAACACAAAATACCGACCGGAGGCAAGTGCTGAGCCAGACTGTCAGTGCCATCCGCTTACCTTGCTACGCCCCCCGGAGGCGACGCGCTGCTGCGAGCTGCTGGCCGGAAAAGACTGGGAAGGGACGTTCAGCATCGTGGACCCCTGGCCCGGGCCCTGCCCGGGGTCCTCTGCTGGACCCTTCTTAAGTTACACCTCCCGCTCCCGGCTGCCAGGCCGGGGAGAGGCCAAGCCCCCGGCTCACTTCCGGGTTCGCCCGGGGCGAGGCACGCCGTGACGCAGCACGTAGAGCCCGGGGAGGGCAGGGCCAATGGGAGAGATGGAGGCATAACTGGGTGAGGGGAGGTGGAACCAGGGGAAGTACGCATGCTCCATAAATTCAGCACCCTGAATTTCAGCACCGCAAGGAGGTGACAGCTATTCCGCGGAAAGATTAGAGAGTGAAGCTGTTCCTTAGCCTTGGTGCTGACCTAATCTGAGAATAAATTCTTACACAGTCCCTGTTAACCCACAACTGTCCGTACTACCATTATACAACTTAAAATATGGAATAAAATAATACTGTTAGAGAATTTTGATTTCTCTGAAATTCCTCTTAAGACTCCAGGCTGTAGGGGAAAGAGAAATTTTAAAAGCCAAAGTGTCAACAGCCACTCCTGTGGTGTGAAGAGAAAACTTCATCATCAAATACCCTCCCTAATGACCGATATTATGAGTCAGTCTTTTTCTGCTCCATTCACCTGTCACTAGTGCTTCTCCCTCATCTAACTTCCTGTTCTCCCTGAAAGACACAGGAAATTGTAGGGAATTGTATATTCATGCACCCCACTATGAACTGCAGTAATGAGGAGTACTTTAGTATCTCAAAGCCTCATTTTTCCATCTACATAGTTAATTTAGGTTTTAGAAAGGATTATATGCCATATGTAAACTATAGGGTACACTGCCTGGACAATAGTAGACACTCAATAAATGGCAGTTGTTCTTCCATACTATTCCAACATACCAATGAGAAGCATAAATACTGTGCAGGTAAACAACAGTCTCTAATGCTCAAGACCCAGACAGGGGACCTGGTGAGTTTTTCCTTGGAGAATGCATACATCCTGAGAATAGAATGCAGTGAAGGGAGAAAGTTTTCAGCAGAAATATAGTTCTAAACAACTGCCCAGTGTCATTCCATTACTAACTCTTCCTGAGTCTGAAACATTGTTTGAACTTGCCATATTGCAACTGTCTTTTCCTTAAAGTGCCCATAAATTAATGTCCGTTGTATTTCAATTAGAAGGAAAAGTGTAGGAATATAAGTAAGCAGCATTTCTTAGATAAATAACCATCAATGACCCTCACCTATGCCCATTTCATTCTGGAATATTATAGAAACAATCTTTATTTGCAATTGAAATGCTTATTGTGAAAAAAATGTATTTGAGCTGAAAGAACTTTACCACCATGTTATGTTACCTTTACCTAGCAATGTGCTCCTGTTTTCTCTCCCATTAAAAGATGCAGTCTTCTATAAATCTACTTTGAAGAACTAATCACTGAGAGCTTCTTATTCCACTTCCCATAAGAAAATGTTTACATGAGAATATCAGGTACAGGGAATCAGAATAAAGGAAGGTGTTGTTGTTGAATGTTTCATATCTGACAAATTTCTTAGCTCCTCCTTGGACAGAAAACAGAAAAAATTCTACCAAATTCTGGCCTTTTGGCTGCCCCTTTTAAGGATCCAGTTAAGGCATACCCATTTAAACATTTCATTTTAATTTTGGAGATTCCTCAATGTACTTCCATAAGTACTGAACACCCGTGCTATTTTACTACTGGACTTACTGACAGCAGAAGAGTATTAAAGAGAGAATCACTTGACTCATCATTCATTAAAAATGCCTAAAATTTAATAGCCCTAACAATGATTCCCATCCTCAATTACAGACAATGATTTAGAGTGCTTTTCACCATCTATTAACAAAGACATAATAACAATATGTTATCAGTAACATAAGGTGATTTTCTTCCTTATCTAATAATATTCATCTGTAGCTACACTATCCAATGGAAATCAATAGGAAATAGCAGATGATGCGAGATTCAGTTTGAAAATATTGTCATTTTATGCAAAGTTATAACTAAATATTTGAAAAATTATAACTAAAGATAAACTTGTAATTTAAGGGATTAAAATTATCCTTTGTAAGCTCCAAATATTTACAGTACAATCAAGACATTTGTAGATGGCACCTATTTTTAAATTCCAGCATTGAATAATAGTGTAGGGATAAAAAAAGGCCCAACTACCATAATAATTACAAAATATTCATTTTATTAATAATTTATATACAAATAAATAAGTTTAAAGGATTATGATACATTTGCACACTAAATTAAAATCCTACAGCCTTTTCATGTCATCAAAAGTAACTAATCAGATTAATTTTCACAGATCAGTTCCTCAATTTCATCTTCACTATCAGAATCTTCATAAAATGAAATTGTGGCTTGAATGGGAAAATTTTTCAGGAGAGCTTCTGCTTCTTGATATAAGTAATCATAACACTTTGATTTTGGCCAAAATAGTCTGAAAAAAGTAGACAAAATAATACACTTTATCTTTTTCATATTTACAATCCTTATACTCATTAAATGTATAAATGTCAAGAGCTCCGTGTATTTAACAATTGATTTATGCATTTAGACATAGCCTTAAGATATGGTTTTAAAATGGTAGTGCTACAGCTTTCAGGGAGTCTACTTGCCTAAGTATCAAAAACTGGTCGATTATTTTAAATCTTTTTCCAAGCTGTAAGCCTAAAATAAATATTCAGCTTACTTGAGGTATTATACAATAGGTATGTTTGTTCTTAAAAAAAAAAAACAAAACAAAACCAGAAGGCTTGTCTTCCAAACTCCATAAGGAAAAAAAAAATGAGTCCTACTACCACATTAAAAATTCTGATGATAGCCAACATCATCAAAACAACAAAATATTATGCCCTCCCATGAAGGCAGAAATCACCTAGTATCTTGCTTAAAATTCACACATTTAACTCTTAGTTATAGATGTAGGCAATGTAAGTTTAGGAAAGTGTAAAAAACAGTATTTTAAAAATTTTGTCTATGCACTGACAACCTGAGGTACAGAAAGGCTATCTCTGAACCCAGCCTTAATCCCATCTCCCTACCCTTTCCCCACCCAATTTAATTTTTGGACACCATACTGAGATATTGAGAATGACACCAGTTTCATAAAAATAATTTACATGTAAAGCTGTTTACCTTAGAATTTCAAATTTCTGAAAAATATTGAACTTGCCATCTGGTCTTCTATTATTTTTCATCCAAGGAAAAGAAGAGGGATAAGGCTGAATCCCCAACTACAGTATAGTCATTTCAGTGTAAATAGGCCCATGTACAAAGACATGGTACATTATGTCCAGTATACTCCATTTTAAAATGCAATGTAATTTATAATTTTTAGCGAAATGGTAAAAATAATTGATAATTTTGATATGAAATTATTAACCATCAATAATTCAGTCATTCAATAAATATTTTAGTGCTTTCTTATGCTAGACATAATTCCTAACTCAAAGATGAATAAATGATGGTCCTACCCTCAAGATGTTGACAGTTGAGTAAAAAGAATTAGAAAGACACAATACAAATGAAGAAAAGTAAAGTAACTTAAGAGAAGTACAAACATAATGCTCCAATACTTCAGAAAAGGAAAGAATTGCATATACAAAACAATCAGCATTTTAGTGTGTTACTAGAACTGCCAAATCCAAAGAATGTTGCTTAATTTTTTTTCATATTCTCCCCAGAATTTCTCACTGACCATTTTTCTTCCAGGGATGCCATATGTTCCTGAATTCCCCCTCTCTTGAGCCATTCTGCTCTGTCTCCTTTGTGGACCTTCTTTCTCTGAATACAGTTTAGAGGTTGGCCTTCCCACATGGTTTTATCACAAGTAGTCATTTCTCCTCTCTGACTCCACAGGATGACCAGAATATTGCCATGATTTCCCCAACTATTCATTAATCAAACGTTCCCAAGTCTGCATTTCCACTTAATAACCTGATGGTGAGCCCTTGATTTATATATGCAGTTCTCTGAGGATCATTGCCGTGCCCCACAGGCACATCAAATACCATAAATGGAAAACGGGACTCATTATCTTGCTCCCCGAATCTGTTTTAGCCCTAATTTCCAATCTGTCGGTACAGCACTCAACCTGCCTCAGTCAGAAATGTGGAAACCATTGTCTTTTTACCTCTCCTTCACCTATCATACCCAATACATTAATAAGCCTAATCTAATCTATTTTGTCACCTACATATTCCCCATATTCACCCAGTTCCATCCCCACTTCCAACGCCTTAGAATGGCTCTTTATCATTCTTGCCTAACCAATTGCAGTAACTGCCAATTTCACTTTTGGTGTTCTAACTGCAACTACATACCATTTCCTGAGTGTTTCTTCTAAAATATAAACTGATCATACCACTCTCCAGTCAAAATCTTTTGAGTAGTCCCCAATACCACCTACAGGATCAGTACAAAACTCTCTACCAAGGTGTACAAGATCTGGGCTCTGGCTTCTGTGCTGGAATGATGTCCACAGCTTCACACATCCAAATTCCAGCAATTTGATGCTCCCAGAGGATCCATGCTGTTCCATGACCCTGTTCTTTCTTTCCCTATGCTATTTCTTCTGCCCTCGCCTCCCCCACCTACCATCAATTTAGCTAACTTCAAGATCACACCCTATAATACACAATTTCCTGACTGCGACTCCCTCTGACAGTGAAGTCTTTAGTCTGAAGTCTTTAGACTCCATGCCCTGATGTCTAAAACTGACCAAATTGAACTCTATTACAACACTTCCTCGCGGTGCTGGGATTATTTTTTTTTTCCTGTGTCCTTCACTATTGCTAGCACATGGTAGGAAATTAATCAAAATGCTATTTAAAAACACATACACATTTTACAAACATCAGCTCTTCATCTAACAGCTCTCTCAAGGAGGCAAACTGCAAGGTTATTCTTTTACCTGAATAAAAGCTACAAAGAGTCCTAGAGCAAGGCTAACTTCCTTGACTAGAACAGGAAACTAGCTCCTCATTGATATGCCAAACGACTTGTGCTCGTTTTTTTTTAATAATCCTTAGTAACCATTAGAATTTTCTTCACATTTCCCTTTTCTCTTACATGGCAAGCTCAATTTGCTCTAAAATTGCAACTGTGAACACCATTCTTCCTTCTGGTTTGCAAAGGAATAAGAATATACACACTCTACCTGGTGTAAAGTCAATTTCATTAGGACCGCTTGGCATTAAAAAAAAAAATAACCAAACTGTTTTGCAGGCACAAGATGTCAACATTCAACTTTTACTGTGTCATCCACTTTCCCTCTTTTTACCATATTCCTTAAGCTTTTACTGAGTATGCACTCATTAACAATTTTTCTAGGTGAGAGCGTGAGCTCCTATATTTTTCAATTCGATGAATAAAGGACCTCTGGGACTGGGAAGATAAAAGTAACCGTGAAGATAGACTTTCCAATAGAAAAACTGTAGGGCCTCCTGCTGAACTGGGCTGTGCTAAGTCCCCGGCTCTTCCCAGGGGCCAGAGGAGCAAGAGACCTTCGGTTTGGCCTGTCACTCACCTGACTGGGTGCCTGTATCGTGAAAGCTTTCCAGAGGGTTCGGTCGTTCCAGGGCCATTGAGCATCTGGGGATGTAAGATGAATTACAGTTAACACTCACCTTTTTCTAGAAACTGGAAACGCGCGAGACCCAGCGTTCCTCGCGCCCTCAATGAATGTGACCGAAGTGCTCTCCGCAGCCTCGCTCTGGGTCCGATCCTTGTGTCGCAACTGCTCTGGAGAGCACACTCGCCTCATCAGCACCGACGGGACCACCGGCAGGCGCGATCTTACGCGAGGGGCAGGCCGGGGGCACGTCTCCCTCGGGCCAGGTGTTCCCAGTTCTGGTGAACCACCTGCGTCTCTCGGAGGCGCGGCCAGCCACGCGCGGCTCACTCACCCCCTTTTCCGCTTGGTGAGGGGCCGCCTCCTGCTCGCCTCGGGAGTCAACCCAAGGTCTCCAGAAGCCTGCGGATCTGCGGGGTGGGGAGCAAAGGCGCGCAGGGGAGACTTGAGCCCAGGCTCGGCAGAACCGATTGCAGCCGAGTGTGGGCCCGAGGGAGTTTAGGGTGGGGGTGGGGGGTGGAGAGCGGAGAGGAGGGGCTGGGTATGCGCGGGAGGGAGGGATGGGGTAGGCGAGATGCGGGGCGGTGCTGAGACGCCGTACCCGGAGCCCGCGGCCCCGCGCCGCGTCCAGCAGTTGGGGGCTGCGGGCAGCTGGCGGCGGCAGCGCGCGCCCTCGCAGGCTCCGCTCTCCGAGCACTCTGCGGTCTCCATGGCACGGCGGGACTCGGCAGACGGACGCTGACAGCTCGCCGACAAACCTACTCCTTTCTCAAACCTGGCCTGGAGCCCTGAGCTTATATAGCCTCAGCAGCCTGCTGCATATTGAGAGGTTTGCTTCCTCTCCGCCCCTCTCTGCGCTGCTAGCCGCATAAACAAAAAGGCTGCGCGTGAAGGCGCAACGGACTGACCCCGGGTGTGAACGCGTGCAGCTCCCAAATGGCCCTGGAAGGGGTTTGTCCAGCAAGTGTTAATCGGTCTTCACACAAGGCGGCGGGGGAAAAAACAACATTCGCCCGAGCAGCCAATTTCCAAGTGAAGAGGTTAGGAGGGGATAAAATTAAGCGATTCTACACGTTTTGTGTATTTCTGCAAAAAGACCAAGTGGCTGGTAATTACTTGACTCCCCCAAGTCTCACGAGCCTTTGGCAAATGAAACTGGTTCTGCACCCCGTAATCTAAAAGATGGGATGCTGAATAAATGAAAAGGAATGGCCTTAACTCCTCTTTCTGGCACAATACAAGATGGGTGAATGAATGGACTCCTTATGAAAGGAACATGGTTATTTTTTAAAATGTATTAACAGTGCAGGTCCATATATTTGTTATTATTTGAAGATAATAAAAAAATTCAATAGAGTTGAATTGTAAAACCTTGAATGTTCCAGCCAAGAGGCCAGAGACTGGAGTCATGTGATTTATTATCTTCTCATAATATAATGTCGTCATTTCCCCCAACATCTTATTAGTTCCCTGAAGATAAGTCTTGAGTTTCATCTACACAGTTCTATCACTACTTGACATTTTGTCAATCAATGGTAATTAGAAAATTATTTTGTGGGGGTGGAGTATGAGTAGAATGATAATGAAATCTTGGAAAATTATGATATGCGACAAGTTAGTCAACTTCTCTGTGCCCAGTTTCTCTTGTTTAAATTACCCCTCATTATGTGTTGAAGTCTTCCATTTGAATGTTGCACTTGTCCACTTCTCATATTGAGAAGTTTTATAAATTTCAAAGTGTATTTTATATTTGTATTGAGTTCTGAAAATTTCGAATTATTAAAAATTCCTGGTGAAATAAAACTTATTAAAAAAAGAAAATCACCTCTCACTTACTACAGAGGTCCATTAAACATGGTAAAAAAAAAAGTGTTATGCTTCAAAAGAAAGATGATGGATAAATGCCACATTTTTCAAAATTTTTTAAATAATAGTGCTTACTTCCTCTTAAAAGTTGTAGATTTAAAAAAAAACTTGAATGTAAGCTATAGTGTTTCTGCTATGTGTTCAGTTACTGCATTGGAAAATAATCCATTGAATTAATACACAAGGGCCTATAAGGATCCACCTGTCAGGAAGGTGAGATATGGTTTGCTTCATTTAATGAAATCAGTAACTGTAGGTACTTAATGTGTATCTCATTGTCCTAGAACAGAGATTTTCAACCTTTTCCATGTCATGGAACATATCAACTAATTACTAAAGCTCTGCAGCACGCCAAAAAAATATATGTTTTGCCAATCTGATAAAAAATAGATATAATTTTGATTCATCACATCGAGCGGCTATTGTTGTGTTGGCTGTTGTCATTTTTTGATTTGACAATCCAATAGGAAAAAGGTCAGTGCCCCTGAATAAATAGTCAGATATTGCATGTTTTAAAAATTCTTCTGGCACATCAATGTGCTTCTTGCAGCACACCAGTGTACCATGGCACACTGGTTGAAAATTACTGTTCTAGATGTATTGTTAGGCAAAATAAGATAACACTTATAGAATGCTTGCTGCAGTGTCTAACTTATAGTGAGCCCTCAACAAATTTTAAACTAGGGGGAGCAGGGCCTCTGGGAGGAGCAGGAGGAAGGGGGTGGAATGGAGACATCTGCAATAGTGTCCAATATATACATATATATATTTGACTATATGTATATTTATATTTGATTATATATTTATATATTTGACACTATATATATTTATATATTTGACCTTATTTAAAGGTGAAATGGAGACATCTGCAATAGTGCCATTTATATGCATACACATATTCCTTTAACAGATGTTCAGCTATCTGATCAAATGGCCTATCATTTCAGTCTGTAAACATCTTTTGAGGTACCTTTGATATACTAAGTACTGTGCTTTCCACATATAATGGTGAATAAGATAGTTCCCCTATCCATAAAAGGATTATGGTCATTATTATCTATAGCTATCAGAGTGGCCACATAAGCAAAGTTTTTTTAAAAGTGCCATATTCATTAACAAAAGCACATTTTACTCAGAGAAGTGGCATGAAGGAGGAAATAGATATGTCTTTTGGGGACAACTATGAAAGCCTTCTTTGAGAAAATGAGACTTAAATTGGAATTTGCAGAAGAATCAGTTAAGAAATAGGGGTGGGTGGGAGAGAGAGAGAGAGAGAGAGTGTGTGTGTGTGTGTGTGTGTGTGTAGAAGGAACAGTGCTTCTAGGGTTACGGGTTGCTAGACCAGACCTACCTGGCAGGGGAGGTACCATGATCACGAAGGGGCAGCCGGAGCAGAGATGTGGCTGAGAAGAAAGAAAGGATGGGCTATTAAGAGCCTAGTATGCCATGACAAAGCATTTCAGCTTTATTCTGTAATTGCTGGTGAAAGATTTCACAGGAGAGTGGAATGGTCAAAGTTTGCATTTGAAAATTACTCTAGAAGCCATATGGAAGAGGGATTTAGGGAAGGCTAATAATAGAGACAAGAAGATCATTTACAAAATCACTGCAATAGTTCAGACAATAGATAATGAGAAGATGTATATTAAGGATATACATGAAAGAATACATATGAGGGATACTTAGGGGAAAAAAATCTACAGAACTAGCCAAATCATACAGAACTAGCATAAAATGTGGATGGACATGAAAGTGGGGGCTAGACGTGCTCTGAGGATTTCTAGCCTGGGTCAATGGGTAGAGGTGGTGATGGCTCAAAGACAAAAAAAGCTGGAATATAGGAGGAAAGGCAGGTCAGATACTTTAATGTTGTTTTATCTGTTAATGGAGTGCAGGGAAAAAATGGATGAATTTGGTTTTGGATCTTAAATCAGTCAGGTTGGGTTGGGCTCTGTGGCAATAGTAAACAACTCCAAAATCTCATAGGCTGAGCTTAATAGAAGTTTATTTCTCAGTCATGCTGTATGCCCATTTTTGGTTGATGGGTGATCTGCTTCACACCACCTGCACATTAAAGATACAAGCTGATGGAGCCTCTTTCCTCTGCAGTGTTGCCACTTGTCATTACAAGAGGAAGGGGAGTATAATTATGCCTAAAAGTGACACACATCACCTCCAATGTGTTTCACTGGCCAAAACAAGTCATATAACACACCTAATTTCAAAGGAGCAAGTATGCAATTTCACCATGTATCCAGAAAGAGGAGAAACAGAAATAAGCATCATTAGAAAAGTACCATAATCTGTCCTTCTGGCTACCAAATACTTGGTTAACTTTCCTTCTTTCATGTAAAATACAGCCATGGCAAAGAAAGGAACTCAGAAGAGATCTAACAGATTTTAGAGGGCTTAGTAACTCATAGGTAGAGAAGATACCCAGGGGACAACCTGAGATATAAGATTTGGAGTTCAGTAGATATTTTAGGGCTAAAGATTTACGTGTGGGCATCATAATAGAAGAGGTCGTAACCAAAACCATAGGAATTGATTGGTTTTTCCAGAAAAATTTTGTAGCTTGAAAACAGGACCAGTGATAGAGCTCTGGAGAGCAATATTTGATTGTGAACAGAGAAGATATGCAATAAATAAGTAAGTAAATAAATAAATAAAATCTCAGAGAAAAGGAATGGTGAGGGTGGTAGAAAGTACATTTGTGGAGCAGGTGTGGTGGAAATACGTGATGAAAGAATTCCAACAAGGAAGGAAAGGTCTGCGACATTTAAGTTCCACCAAGGGGTCTAATAAGATAAGGATGCATGTTAATTGAATTTGGCAATTAAGTGGTTTAAGTAACTTTAAAACATCTTGAGTGTATGGGTACAGAAACTTTTATACAGTAAGTTGAGCTGCAGTGGTAAAGAATAAAGACAATGAGAGAGGCTACGGTTTTGAAAGGGAAAAAGAGAAGGGGAATGCTGGGAATAGAGGGGTTTTAGGGTCCAAGAGAGGATAGGATGATGAGAAGAGACAGGAGAACAGAGGCTTCTAGACAGAGGGGACTGGATGATGGCTATGGTCCCCTAGGAGGCAGGAAGAAATGAAGTTAGTAGCTCTGAGGAAGATTCTCATGCAGTTGGAGAGTGTGCATCAGTGATATATAAATGATGTTTATATAAATGATATATAAGTGATGTAATCCATGTCTGGGAACACTGGAAAAACAACTTCAATCAAGGTGACTAGATCTGATGTGGGGAAGGAGGGATGTAATGTGATAATAAGACATAAGCCTGAGAGAACACCAATGGTCTTAAAATTGTGGGGAGAAAGGAATGTATTAACAGAAGGAAAAAGGGGAGAATCAATTAGTAAATATATGGCAAGACTGAACAAATTTAGGTAAACTGAGAAATAATATAAATATAGATTATTGGAGCTAGAAATCCCCAAATTTTCCATTTATAAATTCTGTTTATGCCACGTACTTATACAGATGTTGAAACTGATTTCCAGTGTGGACAGGCCAATATAACTTATTCATGTTACATTTTAGATTTATTTTATAATTATATATGAGTCCCACCAGGACATTTAAAATACATGCTTTTAAAAACTGAGATATAATTGACGTATAACATTATATTAGTTTCAGGTGTACAACATAATGATTTGGTATTTGTATATTTTGCATAAATTGCAAGATGATTATCATAGTAAGTATGGTTAACATCCATCACCATGCATAGTTACAAATTCCTATTTCTTGTGATGATAACTTCTAAAACTTACTGTTAGTTTTACTGTAATGCAACTTCCAAATATGCATTACAGTATTATTAACTGTAGGCACCAGGCTGTACTTTTCGTCCCCAAGACTTATTTTATAACTGGAAGTTTGTACCTTTTGACCACCTTTAATCAGTTCACTTACCCTCATCCCCCATCTCTCTCTGGCAACCAC